ATATCTCTAAAAATATTAGAGCAGTGTTCTTTAAACTTGGCACCAGAAATGTACATCACAAAAGAAACAAAATGACACCCATCGCGCCGTCGCCATGACAACAGTTATACCGCTGGTCCTGTTTTAATTAAAACTAAAATTCCCAGATTTTATCTTAACAAGGATCATCCACTCCCAACAATCTGATGGGGAGAGTTAAGACAATATCGGAACCACGTGTGTTCCGAGCAAGACCCTCTGTCCCTTCTCAAAGGGTTGCAAATGGGTATATTTGGTTTTTCGCAGAAAGAGACTGGAGCCAGAAGTGTTGCTATGGCAACAACACAGAAGGTGTCATTCTGTTTCTTTTGTGATGAATGTTTCTGGTGCCAACTTTGAAGAACACTGCTCTAATATTTCTAGAGATATTCTTGATTCGGTGTTCTACTGTTCAAGTGAAATGATTTATGGCATCATCACTTTCCTCATTTGCATAGTACAAAAATGTAAATATCTCTAGAATGAAAAAAGATATTCCATAAAGGTAAATGCCATTCTTCTTTACTTTGCAAAGCCTTTCAAATAAGTAGCAATTATTTTTTACTTCATAGGCACTTTAAGATGATGTGGCTCTTAACAAGTTTGTTACGGGTGTGAAAATGAAGGCAAAGGTGACTCAAAACTTTATCACAGCCCCAGTCAAGGCCCTAACATTTATTTCAATTTATTCCAAATACCTGACAGCATCCTTAAAAATTTCCATAGAAAACTCTTCATCAGCTGATTTGGACACTGCATTTATTGTCTTTTCTGCTGTGTCATCCATAACACCAGCCACTCTAAGCTGTGTTGTGGGCTCAGAGTGCTAGAAATAGGAAAAAAAAAGAAGCATACACTTACATCTTTCATCTTAAATTGAGAGTCTTACTTTGACCAAGTGGTCTGCATATGTTGTAGGAGGGGGGTGTAAGGGTTTGCGGTGATGCAGTTTTGTGTTATTTTTAATGCGGTTTTACGGAAATCCTTATTTTAACCTGCGGTATTGCGGTTTTATAAGACTTAGCGGTGTGCGGTTTTCATAAATTTTGGATCGCAGTAATCGGTAAAAAGAGACTGCAGCCGTCTGCGCTTTCCAGTTATAAACAATTATTGGATGAGGTTTTTGTGATATCCAGAATAATCAAGGTCAAGGTAGGGGTTATCAGCCAAAGGCTGAGGCTGGTAACCCTTACCGAGACCTTGATTATTCTGGATATCACAAAAACTGAATCTAATAATAATTATTAGATTCGGTTTTTGTGATATCTAGAATAATCAAGGTCTCGGTATTATTGTTTTATTATACATTGAATGAAAGAAACGGAAGTCTTGTTTTTGCTTCTTTACTGACAGCAAGCAACACAAAGCGTGCGAACTTGACATGATTACCCATGACCTTGAGTGTCCTTGACATAATTATTGTATAATCTGCAGAAATGATGTCACAGGCGCTGATTTCGAAAATTCACTGTACACTTTCGGCCAATCAGAAAAGAGATAGTGAGTTCAATGTATAATAATAACAGTTATTACTCGGATCCTGACACTTCTGATGACTTTTGATCCCTTGTTTATGTTTTGCAAGGGACCATTGTTGTGCAAGCAAGCTTTGCTGTTTGTAATTTCCGCTTTTTCCAGTTAATAATTGGTATGATTAACCATTTAATCCAATGATATGTTGACTTGTTGACTTTCCGGGCTGGGAATCTTTCGCTCAGATTTCCTACAGTATTTGCCATGGCCTCATGGAGGACACTGTTGGCCGAGCAAGAGGAAGTGGTTATGAGGATGGTCGGGAAGAGACGAAGTTACTTAAAGGAGAGATTGGGAGCTCAGCGACGTTTCTTCTGGGAGCAAGAACTCGCATCTGGAGAGTTATACACGTCAGCAATCGTTTGCTTTACTGAACACTTCATGAGGCTGACTACGTTGTCTTCAGGTTATTCAAAATTCTTCTTGGAAAGATTTTAAGTGAAATTTAAGGTTGATTCAGTCGAATTGCTGTTTCAATATTTTGGAAAATTTCCATGCGGTATTGCTGTTTTTTACGTTTATTTATGCAGTTTTNGTGCTAGTATGGTTGACTACCTCACTTGGAGAGGTAATGAAATGAAATGTTAAATTAACGTTGACACAATGCAGAATTTAACTCGATTTAATGCAATATTTCTGCAAGCTGCTACCAGCCTTCTTCAGGTATAGAGGAAAGAAGAAGAAGTTGACTGGTGGAGGAAAGTGAATACATTGTCAAGTCAAATTCAAAGCTGTGTTGGCTATGCTTAACTTCCTGTATATATCTTCAGCTGAATTGATCAAATATATCTAGTCCAACATATACTGACAGGATTATTGTTCACGGTCTTAGGCTACCACCTCTTGAAAATAATGTTAATTTTTTTTCTTCAAAAATCTCAAAAGCAGCTGGTACACCCACTCCAACTAAACATCAATTTTTGCTCATAGAAGCGTGTACTATTCACAAGGGTAATGATGCACTATTCACAAGGGCCTTCAGGAGTCCTAGGAATGTTGCATTCACAGGTCACTCTTTTCATCTGAACAAGAATCTTAAGAACCTACACATCATTATTTTTTAACCTTTTCAATATGAGAACCAAAAGATTAAACAACCATTATGGTAACCAGGTATACTCATCCCATTGCCAGCACAAACCAGCTGGTTCCTAAAGCTGGAGTCTCAATAATAAGCCAACCAGCTGGCAATGTGACAAAGTTTACCTTTATTGTGAGAATAATTAACATAAACAATATATAAGTTTGATAGCCATCCTCTATGGATCAAAATCCTGTATATTTTTAACTTCACCTTCTTACAGTCTGAATCATTGTCAGCAGTTTCTTAAACAAGATCTCTTTGTTTTATGACAACCACAGTTTCACAGCTTATATAAACACCATTTTAAGAAAATGTTGCTTGCATATAATAAGGGATAACTTTTTAGTACAAACTGCTTTAACTTATATTGCTTACAACTGGATTCTACAACGAATGGTACAATGTATTTAAAACTTGATAATATTGCCCCAAAATGACTTCCATCAATTTGCCACTTAATTTCACCCTCCGAGTGTAATTACATCTTATGAAATATAATTATGCAAGTGTCAGTCCAATTCACATTGCATTTTCATTTTGTGACAAAGAAGAAAAGATGTTCTCAGATCAACTGTAGATATGTTACAGATTGTTGCAGAATTCCCATTCAAAACATTTTTATATTGATAAGGGTCAACCTGTTGTAGTTCTCGCGATTAATTGTCCCTATAACAATTTGTCTGTTTACCTGGACTGACCCATAAACATGCAATCTTTTAACAAAGTAGCTGCAGCTGCAATGTTAAATTCGTCACTTTTATTCTTCGCATGCTGACCGAATTATAAATATTCAAAAGATTAGTTTTCCCAAGACCTTGTAATTAGCTGGATCCTCTCAAGAAAAAAACTACTTGTTATATCTTCTTGTAAATAAGTATACGTTGGATCTAGAAAGGAAGCAAAGCGAACGATCACAAGATACGCCTAGCCATAGAGGAAACACTCGTAACTTAGTTGACCACTTGATCTCTTACACATGAAGGCGAACCTTCTTTCATAACAAAGATGTATTGGGCCGCTCCGAGATCACTACCGTATGGTTTCAAAGGCATTTGCAAGACCTGCATATCGTGTTGACCGAAATCAGGTACATATAAAGAAAAGGAAATCTTCTATTCAAAAAAACAAACATAAAAGCGAAGTGAAATGCCACGCAGGTAAGCGCGCTGCATATTAACGGAATACAAATCGCTCTCGGCTCATTACGATTATCATTAAATCGACTGAGATTTTACGACTTTTAAAGAAGCAGTTGGGTGTAGAGAAATGTAATCAAATGAGAACGGACAGGAGTAGAAAGGGAACTGTCATGCCACAGAGATTTCAATATTTATAAATGAAATCATCATGAAGTTGTGTGTACATTTAGAAGACCAAAGAATCCAGACGAAGACCCCATTCCAAATGCTATCAAAAACAACGTTTCAACGACTATAGTGTGACCTTAATTATAAATAATTTTCTATATTATAACACGAGAGGTACTGTAAGTCATCTTGGAATTCTACTCATCTGCTTTTGCCCTTCAATGGGTAATTCAATTCGGCGATCAAAGATGCAATAAATTTTTATCGAGTGCCTTCGAAAATGCAGGCTTGTAAGTGTACCAGACATCCGACCTGAACGTTAACAATTTTACATGTACTTTCGTGATCGCTTTTGGCACCGTTAATGATTGGAATAGGCTGGGATGGGGAACAAATTTGCCCGAATAAATAAGAGAGGAGAAATTGTCCTTAGTAACCCACGTTGGCTTACCGGGGAATGCTGAAGAAGATGCTTGCGAACCACCTCGCGTGCCAGCTCAGGTTTTTTCGCTGCCTCTGCTTTGTCGAATGCGTCCTAATTTAGGAACAAGAGAGTACAACAATGATTCGTTTATCGAAGCTTCCGTAGGATAATTGAGAGTGTCCGCGAATTACGCAAGGCTGTCCATACAAGCGAGGTATATAATCAAGAGGTGAGATTTTACACTTACCACTTCATCGAGGAAGTCGATTGCTTGCTGTAGTTGAGCATTGCTCACGCAAAACAGTCGAAACAGCTCCCTACCAATGGGTTCTTTTTCGCAAATTCTGTCATACGTCAGGAGAACTGCAGGAAAAAAACACACTAAAAGTCACCGGGGTGAATTTGAACGCGGTTTAAGTTCGAATGTTCAAGTTATCGGCAAGCGAACAGCTACGAAAGAAAATCTGCATTCTACCATCACAAGGTCATACGTTGAGCAAGCTTACTGTCGTTCTTGAGATGCGCAGATATCGTATGATGCGGAAATTTCAGCAGCTCTTTCCATTTCTTACTCCTGCCTTTAGTTTTACCTGCAAGAGAGAGGAATAAGTTCAAACAAACCCATAGACAGAGTCCCTTGGTGACACTACTGTTCGAGTTCGCGAGCTTGTCGAGGAAGGAACGACCACAACGCACAAGCTTTCGGTCGCAGCAGAGAGCGCCATTTTCTCAGAAAACCTGACACGATACTCACTTTCTCTAGCTTTTAAATAAACAGTGTTTGCCACAATATTCTCTAGTTCCATAACTTGCGTCAAATCATAGGAAATAAAATGGATTGTAGGAAACCACCCACAGTAATATGGCTGTCATGGCCCCACACACAACCGAGGCATGTGATTGGTTGATTTGCGTTTTTAATCAGGGTCTAGCCTTCCTTCACCGCAGTTCTCTCGCGGTTGGAGCACCTCGGAAGGAAAACATCGCTGGATTTGTAAAATTCAATTGTACCAGTTTTGGCCTTCTCGTCTGAAGTATCGTGCAGAGTATTTTGACAACAAGAACGGAGTTTAACTGTGGAAAGCTTTGCAGTACTAAAGAGACGGCACGCTCCAGCGGACCCCCCTTGACAACAAAGGTTAATATTGACGTCATTGAAATAAGAGGATAACAAATCAGTGGTTGGAGGAAAATGATCGACTTTTTTCCACTGAAATAATGCGACATAAATGAGACAAATGGCAAGAGAGAACAACTGATAAAGATCAATTTTGTTCGTTCACTACAGAGAGAAAAAGCAGGAAATACAATTTTTGCTTCGTAAAATACCAATTTGTAAAAGAAAAAGAGGAATATCAGACGGCTAATTACTTCAAGCCGGCGTCATTTTGCCGCAAACGGAGTTTTTAAAAGCCCATAAGTTACTTTATTACGTTAAATACTTAAGACTTCTCTTAACCTGGTAATTAAATCATCCCGACATATTATTACCAACTTTTTTGTTAAAATCTTAAGTAAAAGATCAAATATTAATCTCATCCTCTAAAAAGCAACATTTATTGACATTGCATTTTGTAGACTTTGTTAGAATACTTCAGCTTTAATACCGACTTATTTCTTTATTATTTTTTTCGGTATTTAAGTACTTCGTCATATGCACAACGAGTATTAATTCAATTCAATTCTTTTACGCATTTGCCCCAAATTGAGGAAAGAGGACTAATATTAAAGTCGATTAAATCCTTTTTTGCGTTTTCTAGGATAAGGTCGGAAGGCTTTTGAGAATTTGGAAAACGTAATTATTCATTGCTTTTAATTACAAAGTATTCTTCAAGATTTATAAATGAATGCCATAAAAAGTTAAAACATGCTAATTTCCCAGGGTTCTCACGCAATACTAGTCACGCGACTAGTCACGCAAGAACGTTGCTAGAGCCCAAGCTCTCTCGGATTACAACTCGCCGGCGGTAACGACACAAAAACATATGGAGAATAAAATGAGGTTTCTTGTAGAAATAGAATTTAGCCAGAATTTCTCTTCGAGTGTTAGACTCGATATTTCACTGGTTCGCACATATCGAGTTGAACGCTCGAAGAGAAATTAAGATTGTTGAAGACTTCCGAGAAGGATTCGAAGGTGTTTCGATAATACATGATATCATCAAACATTACGTCATCGAGATCATCACACTGAAATTATCGTAATTTTACGCCTGTTAATATGATCCTCAGAAATAAATGTTGCCGAACGATTTTTTTTTGAAAATTTCCTTGAATGTTTACTTCCAAGCACTGTTTCGACAAATACAATACTGAAGGATGGGTCACCATTGTCGCTTAAGATAAGAGATTTGATGGGCCATTCTTACACCATTTATGCCTAACCGCGCGCGTTATTTCATAAGTTCACGTTACATTTTGCGGTAGTTGGAAGCAAAGGTTACCACCGGCAACACTTGGAACTCGGGCTCTTGGAACAATGCAATATATAATTTATGGAAAAATGATGACACAATTATGAACGACACTGATTGAAAACTTTTCTCGAATCGTTGTTTTCGAGGTCATAATTTGCATTCTCGAGTAAAGGTTTTGTGCTGTTACAACAAAGAGCTGTAATTTTTTTCGATACGTCAGTCAATACATTAACGTGGCTATGATCACCTTGCAAACTGTTTGCTCGTTTCCTTGCCAAGCCTTGTCCCACAATTTTGTTGTTGCCCAAGCAAGTATACCGCAAATTCCTCTTTATAAGACCCTCCCCTTCCCCAGAGCACCGAGGGTTATGGGCCAGACCGATATATCAAGCTGCACATTCGCGAGTTTCCCGGATATTTTGTACAATAACTCCCAGTCCCCGTATAGCAGCTCGAAGTCCGAGCTCCAGTCTCCCACTCATCTATCTCGCAGGATATAATAAAGCAAACTGTTTTACCTTGTTTCCCTCTTCCTCTGTTTTAATAAATGAAATATTTATCCATGTCATCTCTTGCACGTTTGATGAGGTCGATCAACGAAAATCAAAAACTCAGTCACGGAAATATATTGGGTAACTTCTTTTACGAAAGAACACAAATTTGAATCTGCTTTTTATACATTTCTCTCCTCATATATGCGTTTTATATTTTAACTTTGATTATCTTTTCGCTAACTTCACTAGTCATCAAATATTGGCGAAATTCCATTCTTACAAAAAGAATCCAAATATTACTTTACTTTTTATCGTAGCACCTGAAACCTTTTCAGAAAAAATTTCTAGCCGGTAAATTTTGCAAGTTTATATCGAATTCTAAACCCATAGAAAAACTAAAATTGACGAATGGTGTTTGTAAGGTAGTTAAAAAAAAAAATGTATACTTACCACATTTCGGAAATCTCGGCTAAAAACCCATTTTTCGCACTCAACGTGGTGGAATCGAAAATCTTGCTTTTCACAATGGTGGACTGATGAATCCCCAAAGCCTTCCTCATGAGACTATACGAAATTACTTCTGGATACGTTTACCAAGCAGTTCTGCCCCTGAAATTTTCAATCTTTTTTTTCCAGCACATTGACATGAATGAATGTGTCATTTGTACGCCCACAAATAAAATAAAAAAAACGAAGCAAAGCAAAAGACAGTAATGAAGCCGCTAGTTATCATTTAATACAGACGGATACGGGTTTCTTTGGCTCAATTACGAGTATTCAAATTTTACTTTTTTTTCTCATTGATTTGCCTTGTTGTCGCGACTTCTACATTGCGCAGAGAGGGAAACTAAACAAGAAACAAATTGAGCATGTTGGAAAGTTAAATTAAAATCATTAAAGGCAAATTTACTGATCTTTGATTGTAGATGAAACAGTCCACAAACGTTTTCTCGATATTTGATTTGAGGCTCGAGGGGAACTGTGAAAATGTCTTGAATTGCACTTAATTACAGATTTATATCATTTCTTCTTCAAACCAATGAAGTTTACTGGCGGGCAGTTTATTTTGTTGTTTAAATTAATACTTTTCGTAGCAATAAAAATCATGTTAATAGCTAGGTATGCGCGCAAATTGAAGGCCTATAGTTCGACGAAAGAAAAGAATTCCCAGTAAACGAGAATCTCGACTGGAAAGCAATATAAAAACTTCCATTTTTAAACAGTACGTCCAGAACATTTCCGTTCAAATTATTGAATGTGTACGCTGGACAAAACTGTTCTGGATCGACGTCTTACAACAAAAAAATTAAAACAAGCAAAGTGACGAAAATAGTTTTGTGACTGTCTTAAGCTTTATTAAATTCCACACATGGAAAGTTATTTTCATATAGATCACAAGAGGAAGACTTGAGTTACAGCGTATCTCGCCTAGTTTCTAGACCTCAATATTTTCCGCGGTCAATCGTTTCGTTCGTTTCGGATACGTCACCGAAATCAATTGACCGTGAAGGCCTGGGAGAAGGCCGTACAGGAACCGGGCAACAGCGTATCCAAATTTGGTAACTGAACCACAAAAGTATCCAAAATCACGTGATGATTGCTTCCACCTGAACGTAACAGGGCTCTTAGAGACATGGCGCATGACTTCATACTCGCCTAGAGTAAAAACTGAACAAATTAATTTAAACGGGCCTTTGTAAATAGATTTGTTATATGACTGAAGTCCGCGATGAAATAGGAGAATTCTGATTAGCCTGTGTACAGGCACCGGCTGGAAGGGCCAAAAAGGAACTGGCTGATAGTGAAGTGGCCGAGGGGGGCAACGGGTTAGGGGTTGCGGTGTTGATTGGTTCCCTTAGCGGTCCGAATTTTACAATAATCGTAAACCGCTGTTTGCGTTAATTTCAGTTAGGATTCTACTGGAACAATTAGATTATTCGCTCTCGATTTCTATGAGGTGATAGTTGATATGGCCGAAGGTTACCCTAGCACTACCACATTTCTTTTTTTTTTTTGGCACAGACGCGTTTACAAGGCGGGTAGGGTTAGCGTAGCTGAGCACTAGGGTTACCTTGGCGCCAGGGCATCCCTACATGCCTTGTCAAGCTCTGCTGGGGGCAACTCGCCTACCCGGGACAACATTATTTCGGCTCCAAGGAACAAAATATGATAAAAATATCGGCAAAACAAACGAATTGTGACATAAAAAACATCGTATTAATTCACATTTTCTTTTGCTCTGGATAGAATAAAATCGAAAAATGGCTTTTTGGAACGAAATTTTTTGCAGTAATTTTCGTCGCTACTTCCGCTAAAATATTGGATTGTAGAATTAGTTATATTTTTGCCGTCAATAAATTTATCCCAAACTAAAGAAAAATAGCTTAATTTCTGGGATTTTAATTGAGCTTTAATTGAGCTTGATTTCAGTGGAACTGATAAATAACGTAATTCAGATGAAAACAGATTTTGGCAATAAAATGATTAACGATTGCGTGTATTATTCACCAGGTTAACTTAAGTGTGACCGGCCGGAGTTGTTCCGTGGGTAGTACGGTAACCGTGCCTGAAACATTTTGCTTGTAAACGCGGGCTTTCTTTGACCCTCTTGGTAGGATAACCCTAGCACAAAGGTTTTCCTACCTGCTTGTAAATAGGGCCGTAGTCCTGCCTACTAAATACAAAGCACTTTTCGCCAGGTTAGACCCCTGTGGAAAAACTAGATCTAGATCTAAGCAAGGGCTTTTGGAATCCACCGAGGAAACTGGGGGTAACCTTCCATGATAATTAGCCTTGAATCTCAAACAAAAATGCTGATGTCAGCTTTTCTTTTGAAAAAGAAGAAAAAGTATTTCTTTACAGATTTCCTTAGAATTCGCCTTAACAAACAGAAAAGCAAACACATTTATAACACATTCAAGCTACAAGATAAATGTTAACATAAAAAACACTTTAGCAATGTTTTTGATATAAAAATATCGTCGCAACAGCGCTTTTAGCACTTTTAGCATCCCTGACAGCTCTCCTCTAGTTTAGCCAAAACACAGTCTAAAGTATAAAAATGAGGCAAGGCTGATTACTACGTAGACAATAGCCCTTTTCACGGTTAATTTTTCTCATTTGTATTACAATGTAATCCAACGTGGATGCGAGGCAATTTCGGGCTAAAACTACAAAATAGCCCGAAATTGCCTCACATACATGCTAGATTTTATTGCAATGCAAATGAGCAGAGGTAACTGTGAAAAGGGCTATTTAACACGACAACGACATAATAGAGTCCAAACTGAAAGCCAAGAATTGTTACCGTGGACAGCAGTTTCGACCTGGTTGGGTCTCGTTAGCAAAAAGTAGAGCAACCAGCTTGAGGATCAATTGTCTACTAAATGCACATGATAATGACCTCAGACGAAAACTCAAATCCAAATGTTTGCGGATTGGTCAATATCATATGCAAAACGCGTGACCATGAAAAATAGGCAAAATCCAGAATATCATGTTGTTGTCGCGAAAAGGAGATTGCGGACAGACAAAAACCGTCCCTCGCAAAATACATGGCCAAACCTTGTTAAAAATGAACCACATATCGGATCTAAAAAGACCTACGACCCAAAGTCTAAATTACGTATCTTTTCCTCACAACCAAAAACGTATAACGTCTTGAATAGCCTTAATTAGGGGTTATCACGCGTTTTTAAAATTTAACGAGTTGTTGCCATCTTTTTTGGAACCTTTTTTGGTGCCCGTCACATTTTTTTCTGTCACCGTCCCAGTAAGTCAAACATTTGCGTCTCTCGTACTTGTTTTGCGTGCGCGCAGCCACTATGCCATCGGCACGTACTTGTTTAAAGCTGGATTTCTGTTTAATTTTCTGTGGATAACAGCTATGGATAACAGCTAGTTTTTCAGCTGGAAGTCGTTAACCGTTGGTGGCTAGTGATATGATGCTATTCTGGTATTCCTAGGTTTAGTACAGATTTACAGGCTTATTAAACTTGAAGTGAGAAACGTTTGCTTTCATTTCAGTCGCGCACTTGGTAGCGTAGTAATTTCGATCTCAGCTCGTGGCGTGTAAACCATACCTTGCGTGATGCGCAGAACGTGTGCGCAGTAACTTCAAGCAGACAGCTGGGAAGCATCATAGCTCGGCTTGAACGCTAGGAAGAGCGGAGTATCATCAGCCGATAGACTATGAAAACAGCATCAGCATCAGCATCGGCATCAGCATCAGCAAAACAATGCACCTGTCGTAAATGCTTACTAACAATCTTAAACAGCTGACTAACTTGAAATCGAACTTAGACGAGCGGACACTGTCAATAACAACATGTCGAAACCGATAAATACTAGTTATACAACGATTTCGAGTGGTATATACCATGGAGTATCCAGCCAGTAGCTTGTAGGTTCTCGGTATACACGCAAGACTACACGAGTGATATTAAAGTGTCTATGAAGTAAAAAATAATTGCTGCTTATTTAAAAGGCTTTCCAAAGTAAAGAAGAATGGCATTTTCCTTTTTGGAATATCTTTTTTCATTTTAGATATATTTACGTTTTAGTATTATGCAAATGTGGAAAGTGATGACGTCACAGGTGGTTCCCCTAAAAACGTACAACACTCAATCGAGAATATCTCTAGAAATATTAAAGCAGTGTTCTTTAAACTTGGCACCAGAAATGTACATCACAAAAGAAACAAAATGACACCCATCGTGCCGTTGCCGTGACAACAGTTAAGCCGCTGGTTCTGTTTTAATTAAGACTGAAATTCCCAGATTTTATCTTAAACAAGGATCATCCACTCCCAACAATCTAATGGGGAGAGTAAAGACAATATGGCAACCATGTGTGTTCCGAGCAAGACCCTCTGTCCCAATTTAAAAAGTTGCAAATGGGGATATTTGATTTTTTACACAAAGAGACTGGAGCCAAGAGTGTTGCCGTGGCAACAACATAGTAGGTGTCATTCTGTTTCTTTTGTGATGTACATTTCTGGTGCCAGGTTTGAAGAACACTGCTCCAATATTTCTGGAGATATTCTTGATTCAGTATTTTATTGTTTAACTGAAGCTATTTATGACGTCATCACTATAAATACAAAAACGTTAATTTCTCTACAACAAAAGATATTCCGAACTGAAAAACACCATTCCTCTTTACTTTGAAAAGCCTTTCAAATAAGCAGCAATTATTTTTCACTTCATAGGCACGGCGGGACTTAACCTAAAATTCTGAAAGAAATTCGAAGTTTTGTTTTTCACGTAACTCGAATTTTAAGGTATCGAAGTTTTGTTTTGACAAGTACTGTTACTGTAAGTTTAAAGCTCGTTTTCTCAAAAACGAGTTATTTTCGCCTTTGAAAAAAGATATCTTGAGGTGGATTTATTCAATTGAGCTAAAATTTCAGGATTTGTTGTTCTGAGTACGTCCTGTGGGATAAGCCTAGAACTTTTCCATCCAATGCATTCTGTCGAGGTTATGTATTGAAACGTATGATGGATTTTCTGTATCAGATTTAACTGGCCATCATTTTACGTGCTTTTAACTTTTCAACAATCTCTATGCTTATTACAGCAAGCTATTTGTCTTCTTTTATAAAATGTAAAAATGATTCCTTTTGATCAGTTCTTGTAGGAGTTATCTTTTCTCAAGTAAGCCCTGGCATTCCCCAGCAGGTGGCAGATTTAATCAGCCGGTGTCAGGTTACAATATAGTTACAGGGTACACAAATATTTTTTCATGATCTTTGGTCTTTAAGCTTTTTAAAAATGTATACTTTGCCGGCATGGTTTAGAGTTAAATCTTAGCCGCCAGAAAATGTTTAAAACATGGTGTGGGATATTCCATGGTATACCCCGAGAGAGTGTTGCATAACTGCTGCTTATACCAAGCCATAGAATATAGATCGGCCAACACAAAAGCGACATACGCGCGGCACTTGATGGGAAGGCTGGATGTAATACCGTCCAATATACAAGGGCTTTCCTGTATTCTGATTGGCTGTTTTTTCTATGGCATGATATAAAGGTTCACATCACTTTCTCAAACTCTCAAGTTAAAACAAAGAAAACCACAACCGTGAAGGAGGTTTGGATACCCGGTGTTACTTAGCATAGATTTTGACGATTTTAATCAGTCCTTGGTTTCCGAGAAGCGTTGCGTGACGATCCAAATAACAGCTGTGAAACAATAGACCGTTTTCACTGTCACGCAATTAAAAAATAAATCGAAAACTATTCAGTGAGTAAAGCCAAGAAATTGTGATCTTGTAGGAAATGGATAGAGAAGACACTTCTCCAAGTTTTAGATTTGTGCGTTTTCCCAGACTGCCGATATTTGTGGAAATGTTTCGCAGGAAACGCCATGTTGGTGCACCTCTGTGGTGGAAAATAGTGGAACTTACTTTGGCTATCTAGGCGACTGAACTGAACAAAAAAACATTTATATAAGCACTTTTCCTTACGATCTAACTTCTAAAAAAGCTAAAAATCAGGAGATAGGAAAATGTTTTTCAACAAATGCGATTTAGCTTCGTGTCACGCACCACCATAACTCTGAAATTCAAAATACGATGGTTTTCAAACGAAGCACACTATTGAGCTGTAACATTGTAAACAGAAATAAATTTAACCTCCCTCTCCCCCCCCCNTATGCCTGATGGGGATAAAAACTTTAATTTGATGGCTCTTTAGTTTTCAGCTCTAATTTTAGAAAATGATGACGTCACATGAAAACGACCTATTCGTTCCCAATCTTTCGCAACGCCTCGCGTGCAGCTACAAAGATGGCGGACGCCTGACGCGACGGAAACAAGGTAACAAGCGTAAGCTAAAAAAGTGCTCAATCAAGATTTTATGTCAATTACTTTATTTGTTTAGTGGCACCGATACAAGTAAGTCAGGAATTTGTTTAGACGATATTTTAAAGGCAACGCAATGGTACAATTCGTTCTTCCAACTAAACAATGATCAAGTTGGCCGGTTTTATGAGTCCCACACCAAATCGTGAAATATTTTCGATCAATCGCCTGGATCAATTTTTCTTGTATCACAAAACTAAAATTTCAGCTTAACCGTAAGGACAAGAGAATTATCCCAGATCCACGTGCATAGGAAGATGACGTCATCTGACATTGCCTCTCTAAAACATGGTTAAAAAAGTGATTTTTCATTCTTTCTTTAATTTTTATAGAATAGACATGGCTAGTAAAAACGGAGAGCCATATTCCCGCAAACCAAAGGGAGGTAAGAGAACTTAAGCGTGTCATTTCTAGCTTCGCACACTCAGCAGGTGTGAACAAGATCTATGACATTGCCTCCTTCAGCCCCCATAAACTATTTTCATGTTGCCAACAAAGTTTCTCTTAAAAATTATACTTAGAATGTGGGGGGGACAGGGGGGTCAGAACCTCCCGCCTCCCATACCCTGCTCTCCCGCTTCCCATACCTTTATCTCCCGCCTCCTGCCCTTTTCCGTGCTGCTCCCGTCCCCTGTAAATTGGCAGAGTCAAAACACATTCTAGTCATTTAGCTTCACAATTCTTAAGCATTTTCTTCGTTTTTAAATAATTTAACAAGATTACCACTGCCATATGTTTCAATTCAATGAACTTTTGACCTACTTGTTTATCTTCTTTGAGTTTCACCATTTTAGTCCATTTTCGTCAGCTCTTCAGATTTGTTTCTGAAATCCATTTTCAGTGACGACGGTCTCAAAAGTTAATTCTAAATTGTATCTTGTTCTGATAAAGTATACGGATTTCCAGTAACCAGTCCGGCATTTTTTGGGATCAGACAATTAAATCATGGAAGTAGGATTTGACGGAATTGGAGCCAAACGTCCCAGGCGGATTTCAGATATGCGTATCTGGACTCACTGGCAATTTCCTCTAGCCAATGTACACATGCAAAATCTTTAAGAATTTAGAAA